CAACCCTGCCACTTGCTGCAGAGTCCCCTGGGAAATGTATGTGTGTCAGACCCCAGTGTCCTCACCTGGAAAGCGGAGACAGCTCAGCATCTTTGGCAGGAAGTCATGTGAGGATTAACTAGGACAAGCCTGGTGGCCGGCACAGCGTGGCACAAGTAAATATTACTGATGTCATTGGCTTTGCTCACAAAGACCTTGACTCATGTGAGCTGTGGGGTAGAAACTGCTTTGCTGGAGATAGTGGGGTGTCATCTTGCACCCCATGCTATGATAAGGCTATAACGAAGGAGTTGGAGACCCTGGCAAGTGGCTGTAGAAATATAGGCAGATACAGAAGGAAGACTGATAGGGAAGGAAGGAGGGACAGACAGGGGGAGGGAGGGAGGGAGAGAGGGAAGAAGGGAGGGACGGAGGGATGGAGGGACAAGGAAGGACCTGGTAACAGACAGGCCCTACATTTTATGTATTGCCATTTCCTAGGTTCTGTTCTTCTCTGGTACTCAGGAAAAGCTCATTCAGAGTGACAGCCTGGTTCAAATGTGTTCAGAAGTCCCCTTTCTTCCCATTGTTTGGGGGTTTCCTGCAGTGACAGAGCCCTAAGGGGGAAAGGAAGGGGCGACCCAGACAGTTTGTTTCTTCTTAATTCCTTCACAGTCCCAAACAGGGTGGAAACCCCCACCCCCACACGTAAGTCTACCTCCACCAGTGTGAGAACAAACAGAGTCACCCAGGCAAACAGTCATATGTACAGGTAAACACAAACACTTAATGACAGGCCCACCTGCGCTTAACTGAGATTTGAATGCAGTCCAAAACTTGATATTGGCCCTTCTGCCTGGGCTGGAAATACATGGGATTCATTTCTTAGAGGGACACCACTTAACAGCAGTGAGAAGTTCCTGGTGTTTTCCTGCACTGGAACTCTGAACAAAGATTTTTTTTTTAAACTACTGTCAGTGGAAGCAGCTTCATGGAGTTACCGGGAGACTGGGAGGGGAGCCCTTTCCAATTCAGGCTAATCATGGATATTTAGGGGGTATTATTTTGCCATGTTGTATTAAGAACAGGGCCATCACAAGAAACAACAGATGTTTTCATTGTTTAACTTAGACAATGAACTTACAGATTTTGGATACTTCTCTACAAAAGTAAAGCCATGTAATTATTTCAACAAAGCCTTCATATGTGCTCAGACATTCTTGGGCAATTTCAGTATAAATATGGCTTTCATAGAAGGAATCAATACTGAACCAGGTCGGTCTTAAAAACTTAACACTTGGGTTATGTAGTTAATTTGAGATTGACCTTCGTGGTGCTTACTCATTGATTGGAAGAAGGGAAAGCAAGGATTTCCCTACTCTCCTTCCTGTTTGTAATAGATTTGAACGCTATGCACAGAATGGTGGTCTAGGATCTCATGGCATCAGTATCGTCATCCGTCTGTGTGACACTGGGCAAGTCCCTTAGTCACGCTGGATGCCTGCTTCTTCACCTACAGTGAGAGGTTTGAACAAAAATATGGAGTTAACACATGTATGCAAGAACCTTGGATCCACCCCACATAACCACATAACGTGTATGTGTGTGTGTGTGTGTGTTGTATGTGTGTGTGCCTGCAAAATATGCATTCTCTCTAATGCAGAAAAATGGGCAGAATTATAAATTTTTAATCATAGATAGAAATAAACACCAATACATAAAACAGATACTAAGATTTCCACCTGTACCTTTTTAAAAGATTGATTTACTTTATTATGAGGAGGCATGGGGATATCAGAGGACAGCTTTCAGGAGCTGGCTCTCTCCTTCCACCCCAAGTTCAGGTCGTCTGGTTTGCACAGCAGTCATTTCACTCATGTCTGTCTTTTTGAGACAGGAAGAATTACTCTAATTCATAGATTATGAAGCCTACAGAAAACATTGTGTGTGTCGCTAAATGACCCAAGTCGAGTGCCTAGAGGGAAGGAAGCCCTTGACCATCTCCACATGTCCTAACAGCGTCTGGGATTGTCCATCTATTCTGGCCTCATGGAGCAAGCTCCCGGAAGTGCCAAGTTCTTTCCCTTAGGTAGTCTCCAAGACTTGTCTTGTTCAGGCTCCTGCCTCAACAGTGACCCCAGCAAGAGTCTAGGGCTATTGAGGCCCCCAGGGAGGCTGGAGTTTCCCCAGTGGTGGTCTCTCTTCTACCGCGTTCTCTCAGCTCACAGCTCTGAAGCTGGCTAGCAAGCCAACCCAGGGAGGCCCTAGGAAGTCTGAATGGAGGCTCCTGGTCAGAATCCTCTCTAGAAGTGAGACTGGGCTAGGGTGGAAGGTATATAGACAGACACAAACAGTAATACTCCAAACAAACAAAAACCAGAAACTCAGTCTGTGTGGCTCCCCAAGTTGCCCTACAGGTCTCTGATCTACTCTTCTTCATGCAATTTTACTTAACTATTTTCTATATAAAACAGACAAACAAACAACCCCTCTGAACCTGCTGTTGTGGTAGCACACACCTTTAATCCCAGCACAGGGGAAGCAGAGGCAGGCGGATCTCTGTGAGTTCAAGGCCAGCCTCATCTACATAATGAGCTCCAGGCCAGCCAGGACTACATAGAGAGACCCTGTCTCAAAAACACAAACAACAGGGAAAAACCCTGGTGTTTACAGATCCTTCTCCAAGGGCTGGTCCAATAAATATAGTCCTCACCCCTCATCAAAGAAACTTTTCCCTGTAACAGCCAGAGACCATTCCAGAAAACCACAACCAAACAAAGTGAAGAACTGTGGAGCCCAGGCCCAACTCATACATCTACAACTCAACTCCTGGGTGGAAAGATTCTAAAGCCAGAGGAGCGAGAGCTTACTGTGAGACCAGGTCTCTTAGGAATGTCAGGAACTACACCTGCAATAGTTCATGACTGCCTAAACATGAGCTGAACAAGGACAGCAACAACAGACATGTTATCACAGACAGAGGAGAGACCTCAGCCCTCCACAAAGAACTACAGACGTATTAACACGGACAGAGGAAAGACCTCAGTCCTCCACAAAGAACTACAGACAACCAAGAAATGGCGAAAGGGGGAGCAATGGTCTTCTCCAGAGAAAAGCACCCCAACTGGTTACACAATACCAAAAGATCAGCCCTAAAAGCATAAACTACACAAGTAACATTATACAACAGTTGTACTCGTGGATTTAAGAATGTGCGTGTGTCTATAAAACAGTAACTAATGAAAGGGGGCCTGTGAATTAGAAAGAGCCAGAAGGGGTCTATGAGAGGGTTTAGAGGGAGGAAAGGGAAGGGGGAAATGATGTGATTATATTATAATCTCAAAAATAAGAGATTTTTTAAAAAACAGCCTCTGAGCACTCGGCCTTTTCCACCTCTCTCTTTTCCGGTTCCCAGGCCCCTTCCTCCACCTACCATGCACTGACCTTCCATGAGGCTGACAGGCACTCTGGCATGACATGGTACTCTCTCTCGGCCCTGGCTGCTGTAGACAGGGCGGCCTATGGCACTCATCCCTTTGCTGGGAATTGAGGCTCTTTCTGCACTCCCATGACCATCTCTGCAGACCTCGGGTGCCCAACCCTCCTGGCTCTACCTACAGGCCCCCTCCTGGAGCCCCTGTAAATGCTGACTGAACGACTGACTTGGCTGTCTCACGAGGTGCCAAGCACCTTCCTACACCCCCACATGTCACAGTCCCACACGTGTGGCCTTCCTCTTGGGTTTGAGCCCTAAGTTTGGCAGTCCTCACACTGGACTGGTATCTCTGGCCTCTCAAGGTGAGCTCTTGGCAGGATGCTGGCATCTACAGACATACTGACCTCAAAGCCGAAGTAGTCCTGCCAAAGGCGTGCTCAGCTTGCATCACTGCCATCTTCCTGATTGTCATTGTGGAGAGCTTTTGGGGGTTCCGAGTGCTTCATGTCTTCTTCTCAGATCTTCATAAAATAGGGCCAGAGGCCAGGCAGGGTGACACACACCTTCAATCACAGCACTCGGGAGGCAGAGGCAGGTGGATCTCCTGAGTTCAAGGGCAGCTTGATCTACATAGTGAGTTCCAGGACAGCCAAGACTGCATAGAGAGATCCTGTCTTGTCTTAGAAAGACGGCAGGGGGTGGGGGTGGGGGTGGGGGACAGAGTGCAGCCACTGATGCTCAGAGGGGTTGTGGTGTGCCTGAGACAGGTTTGCGGTGGAGCCGACACAGCCCAAGTTTGGGATCTTCCAGGCTGAAGAGTGTGTTCCTAAGCTCAGAGCTTATGGGACAGTGCATGGGATGATCCAGTTGATCTGCAGTCACAGCTGATCCTCCTTTATTATCTAGCATCCCAGGGGGGCTGGTGAATGTTGGGTATCTGACTCGTCTTCAGGTGGGATGTATTTGGGTAGTTCACAGGCAATTCATGCCTCTGTCCCATGAAAGGGACAGCTTGCAGGAACACTCTTGCAGCCCCAGAACAGCTCACCTGGCTTTGCTTTCACACAAGGTCTTGCTAGGGGACCCGGGCTGAACTTGAACTCTTCCTTCTGAGTGCTGAGATTACAGAAGGGCCCCACCATGCCAGGCTTGCTCACTTTATCCCACAAAGCCGCAGTGGTACGATTTAAGTCCCACACGCCTGTGGACTTTGCTGCCTGCCAGTGAGAACGAGAGAGCTAGAAAGGAGGAGGGAGAGAGGGAGAGAGAGAGAGAGGGAAAGGCAGGGGAGATCAGGTGTAAAATAGATGGAACCAGCAGCTGGTCTGTGTAAGCTTGGAAGCACAAGGAACATTTCAAAGAAGAGGGATGTGGTGGTGACTTGTCAGGCCTGAAGGAAACACGCGACTCTCCAGATTTTGTGATATTTGTAATTTTTTTCACAGTATGTCAGTCTTGTGTGTGTGTGTGTGTGTGTGTGTGTGTGTGTGTGTGTGTGTGAATGAGATCTGTACGTGTTCATGTATGTGCACATGTTGATGTCAGGTGTCTCGCTCAGTGGCCGTCCACTTTATATGTTGAGACAGGATCTCTCACTGAACCTGGAGCACACTGATTCAGCTAAAGAACCCGGACAGCAAGCCCCAGGGTTCTTCTTGTTTCTGCCTCACCAGCACTGAGATTACAGGTGCGTGTGACTCCTAGCTTTCATCTGGGTGCTGGGGGACCCAAACTAAGGGCCTCGTGCTTGTACAGCGAACACTGTGCCAGCTAAGCCACCTCCCAGCCCCATCATCATTTTTATCTTTCTAAATTAGCAATCACATTTTATCTATTTTTAAACATTTTAAAAATAAATTTATTTATTTACATCCTGGCCAAAGTTTCCCTCCCTCCTCTCCTTCCAGTTCCTCCCCCCATCCATCTCCCTCTGTTCCCACTCCTCAATCCACTCCTCCTCCTTTTCAGTTTAGGAAAGGGCAGGGCTCGCATAAGTATCAACAAAACATGGCATATCAAGCTGCAGTAAGACTAAGCACCTCCCCATGTGTTAAGGCTGGGCAAGGCGACCCGATATGGGGGAGCATGTTCCCAAAAGCCAATAAAAGACTCAGAGACAGGCCCTGTGTCCACTGTTAGGAGTCCCACAAGAGGACCAAGCTACACAAACGTCACATATATGCAGAGTGCCTAGGTCAGTCCCATGCAGGTCCCTGGTTGTCAGTTCAGTCTCTGGGAGCCCCTGGGAGCCCAGGTTAGTTGATTCTGTGAGTTTTCTTATGGAGTCCTTGTTCCCTCTGGTTCCTACAATCCTTTCTCCTCTTCTTCTGCAGGATTCCCCAAACTACTCCTAATATTTGGCTGTGGGTCTGCGTCTGTTTCTAAACATTTTTTAGGAGATTTGTTTTATGTGCATGGGTGTTTTACCTGCACATATGTCTGTGTACCACATGCGTGCAGTGCCTGTGGAAGCCAGAAGAGGGCGCTGGATACCTTGGAACCGGAGTTACAGATGATGGTCAACTGGCCTGTGGGTCCTGGGAAGCCACGCCAGTCCTCCGGACAAGCAGCCAGTGCTTGTCATCTCAGCCATCTCTCTAGCACCTTGCCTACTCTCAAATCTGTAACTTGGACTGTTTTCTTAAGATTCAGGCTCTAGAAATCCTAATTCATTCCAGAAATTTCACCGGGTCCCAGAGTGGCCTAGAGCTGGGCAGGAACAGATCTCCTGGATCCTGACGGAGGGTCCTCAGTCCATATGTAAGCTGCATCTTCGTGCAGTGCTGTGAGGACTTGGAATTGCCACCTCCCTGGGAAGAGCTCTTCCTCTACAATGACGAAGACAGATGTTGAGGCAGTGCCCGTGGTCATGATTCGCTAGAAAGCGGGTCTGCTTCTCCACAGGCTCCGCCTGGTAGTGCTCACACTTTAGAATCTTGGGACAGAGGTGCCTCAGTGCCACCCTAATGTCCTCCCCTCCCTCCCTTCTGTTGCTGTGACAAGCTGTCAGTGTTGAGGACGGAGCCGCTCCTCAGAGCTGGAAGTCACTGGAAGATGGCATTAGCTCCTCCTGCCACCCGGCCCAGGAACTGTGAAGAGGAAGAAATCCCTCCTGTCAGGAGTTGAGTCAGGGGACCAGGGTGGCTGACAATGAGCAGAGGCTTTGTCAAGTGAGTGTGGGACACACAGGATGCTGGCGGGGGGGCTCCCCTCTTCTGGTCCCATCTTGTCTCTGGGCTCTCTCTAAGCCTCCACACAGATGCTTTATCAATCTTGGTTCAAGAGCTCCCTCCTCACCCTGAAGCCTAGCCTAGCATCACCATGCACACATTCTGGTCTCTTGAACCTCATCCTCCTGGCCTTTCTCTGTGCTCTGTGCCTGATCTTTCCCAGATGACAGCTTTCCACACCATGGAGAAGAGCCACCAGGGCCCCAAGTGTTCTTTTCACGAGGCTTCATTTCCCAGCTCTATTGCCTTCCATCTTAACATGATCGCTAGACCCTTGATTGTGCTGGCTTCCTTTCTGCCCCACCCCTCCCCCCTCACTCTATAGTACAGGGTGGCCTAGAACTTGAGATTCCCCCTGCCTCAATGGGCATCATTTTGAGTGTGTGGTTACAGGTATTCACCACCATGCCCGGATAACATTTCCCTTTAAACGGAACAGACCCAATGCAGTAGAAGTGGTCTGAGCAGGTGAGTACAGGAACTGTCATCCCCCGAGGGAGCCCACCAGTTCTGACTGCTACTCTGGGCCCTTCAGGTTTGGTGAAGCACATTCCCATGGCCCTGGTATGGATTGTTGGGGGAGAGGTGTAATTAAATGCATTATTTACTGAATATTGGGAGTTGGGACCAGAGGTACCACATACACACACTGGGGACGTTGGTAATAGTGAAGTAGGGGGTCAGTCCCACAAGGCAAAAGGCAACAGCGAGGAGGAGAGCCCAACCTCAGGCCACTGTGGCATGGAATGCCACATCCTTAGCCAAGTTGACCCCATTTTTAACAGCCTCAGCTGACAATGTGAAAAGATCAAGTATGGCGTTTCCCGAGTGTTTCATCAGAAGGTCACAGATGACAGACAGAAACAAACTTACGGTCGATGGGTTTGGAGAACCCTGGGATAGCTGGAGGTAAATGGGCTTCTCCCGAGAGCCTGCAACGTGCCAGAGGGGTGCTGAGACTCCATGTGCAGCCACAGCACGAGGCTTCCTGACTTCTTTTGGCATAAAATCTTTGTCCTTTTACTATATACAACTCACCCATGACCCTCGAAGGAAGCACACCCCTAGGACTTCTACTCTATTTGTTCATTTATTGTGGTGCTCGTGACTGAACTCAGGGCTTTGAGGATGCTAGGCAAGCCCTTGACCACCGAGCTACGTCCCCAGCCCCATTCTTCATTCTTCTAGCAGAACACAGTCACCCACTCCCCACACCTTAAAGGTTCCGATAAAACTCCGGATGATCCAACTCAGAGCCTCTGCCCTCACACTTACCCTGAACTGGGGAGAAACACAGAGTGGCCCCCAAGGCTCACAGTCAATAGGGCAGAATGGGGGTTGGGGGTTGAGGACCATCTTCTGTAAGCAGGGTCAACCAAGCACAATGGGTTAAAATGACAGCCAGACGCTGGGCAACCAGGCAAGTCACCACAGGGCAGAAACAAGGCTCTTTTCTTTAAAATAAATATTATGTGTGTATATACACACATAATATTTATGAATGCCGAAGAGCCATGTGCATGCAGTGCCCACAGAGGCCAGAAGAGGGCAATGGATCCCCCTAGGACTATTGTGAGCTGCCATGTGTGAACCAGGGTTCTCTGTAAGAGTAACCAGTGCTCTTAGCCTCTGAGCCATCTTTCCAAACCCTTCCTTTTCCTTTTTTTAGGGTTACATGTAGCCTAGGATGGCCTCAAACTTTCTAAGAGCCGTCCTATATCTACAATGGTGTTCACGTCGCTGGCGGGGCTGCCTCTTTCTCTTGCACAGTCTGCTCACCCCTCCACACTCCAGCTGGACATTTTCTACGCGTTCGTTGAGTGAATCTGGGACGGTGTGGTTGGGACAGACGGCTTTTCAAATCTCACTGAGGGTTAAGGTTTATGGAAACTATGAAAGAGTTGCTTGAATTCAGAGAAAGGGGCGGTCAGCACAAACGGAGGTAGGATTTGGGGGACAGGAAATCCCAGGGTTGGCCTAGTGTTGGCGAAAAGGACACAGGCCGTGTCTGCAGCTGAGACAATCTCACACTGGGGCATGTGGCATCTTAAGGATGTCTTCAGCAACGCCGTAGTTAGTGCCCTGAAGCTAAGCAGAATCAACCAACTGTTTGTCGGCATCAGCTGTTCCATTTGGCAAATTTTAGCCAGGGCCATGGATGGCTACTCATCATGATGACTGTAGCAGGCCCTGGTGGTGGCTCGGTGCCACACTCAGGTCCTCAGGACATTGCAGCCTAACCTCACGCAGTCCGAGAGGGCCAGGGTCTTGTCCGCCGTTCCCACTGGACAGCCGAGGTTCGGAGGAACTGGCTAACTTGTCCTCACACAGATGGTGACCTCTGTATGGTCACTGGTGGTGGTGGCAGTGTTTGCTGTTACCGTCCCCAAGCAGATCTGACACAGAATTTCAAACATACTCAAGCAGGGAGAGCCATCTATTGGGCCACCTGGCGCATTTCCCAGCAGCACTTGCTATTCACTTGAGGCCAGTCTGGTTTCACAGGTTACCCCACAACTCCTGCTCATCACCTTGGATTTTTACATTTCTATTCTATTTGTTATTATGAGGGTGTGCACGCGTAAATGCCACGATGTATACATGTGGAGGTCAGAGAACAACTTTCAAGCATCTCTTCTACCATGCTTTTATCCACTGAGCCATCTCCCTGCGCACCTTGTATTGTATTGCATTATAGGACATCATCAGTAGACTTTGCATCCTCCTGGCAAAGTACCCAGGACCAGGGACATCCCAGTCCTGCCCCTCTCCCACCCATGTTTCACGCTAGCCACTGTTCCAAACACCCCCGCGTTCAGACATGGAAGTGAGTTGTGGGGCAGCCTGTCCTAAAGCCCTGGCCTGGCCCGACAAGTGGCTTCTCTGAGTCACCTATGTGTCTGTACCTGGAGCTTCGTCCCTCAACCTGGCTTCTCTTGAGACAGAAACAACGGGATGTGGCGGGGCTCTCGCCGTGAGCACAAGTCTTTCTAGACCAGGTTGGTCCTAAACTCACACTCTGGTCGTGCCCTTGTTAGTTCCTGCTTTGGGCTAGAGGGAGGGCAGGAGGAGAGGCAGTCTCTCTGCCTGGGAGGGAAGGACTCCCTCCTCTTTCCCATCTAAGAGCAAGAAGTACAGATGAGTTCAAAGAGCGGTAAGCTTTCTCAGTAGTTTGGCCAGGTGAGCATACAGTACCTATTGTGGCCAGCAGGTGTCGCCTGGAGAGCACCAGAAACCATGGGTGGTGTGGGGTGCTTACGATGAGGTTTTCTTTCAGTATTAAATCCTATTGGACCTGGGAGAAGTGAAATGAAGTTCCCCCCGTACGGATCTGTCTTGGTGGATCTGGCACTACTTAGGTCTCGAGTGACGCGTTAGAGAACCTGACGTGTGTTTGCATCAGATCCTAGAACCAAACTGGCATCAATAGTCCTGTTCTACAGATGAGGGACCCAAGGCTCTGGAAACCAAGTGGTTTCTAAATGATACACAGGCACCGAAGGGCAGGGCTTGGAGCCGGGCAGGGCTTGACTCCAGTCTCCTGGCTGTTCCGGGCACTGTGCTGAGGCACCGGGCATCCCTGCTAGCTGGACCTGAAGGAGAAGATGAGGTCACAGTTGCCCTTGGCCCTCTGGGAAGAGGTGAAGGAGCAAGGTGCTCTCGGGGCCATTGGCACGAGACCCGCTGTTCTCTGAGGACATCTCCCTCCAGTTTCAAAGTCTGCCTTTCAGTGAGAGGGTACAACTAAATCAGTGACTTCTAACCCCTGCCTTGAACGAACACACACACACTCACACACACACACACACACACACACATTCACATACATGATGACTCACACATTATCACACACACATACACACACACACACACACACACACACACACACACACACACACACACACGTGCACAAATTTGGAGAGAGAGACAGCCCTAAGACCGCCTGTGTTTTACATCTTCTACAAGTTGGACATAAGCAGCTTCCCAAGAGTCACAATGGGGCTTGGGCTGGCATTTGCCCCAAGGGATGCTCTGTGTGTTTCTGATCAGCACTTTTAAAATAATTTATTTATTTATATTTTATGCACACTGGTGCTTTGCCTGCATATATGTTTGTAGGAACATCCCCTGGAACAGGAGTTACAGACAGTTGTGAGCTGCCATGTGGGTGCTGGGAATTGAACCTGGGTCCTCTGGAAGAGCAGCCAGTGCTCTTAACCACTGAGCCATCTCTCCAGGCCCCTGATCAGCATTTTTATTGACAATCTCCACGCTAGTTTCTCAAAAGGCCTAATGCAGTGCTGGCACATGCTGGCTGTTCAAATCTTCAATCAAAGCACATGGCACACAAGACCAGGTCTGAACTTGCCTTGTCCCTCAGCTAATTCCCTTTCTGTTTGGTAGCAATCTATGGCTTTGTCACAGATGAGAAACTGAGTCACAGAGTGAGCTCTGCTTCACACTACCGGTTTCCTGCCTTGTCCGGTCTTTGCTCCCACAGGATCTGAGAGGAGGGAAGCTCTGAGTCTAGGTGACAGCCAGGTTTCTAGATCTGCTCAGATGGGGGTGGTGACATCAGGAGTCTATGAATCAGTGGCATCAGGGTTTTGCCTCAGTTGGTGAAGGGCGGAACGGGCAAGCCCCTCCAGGAGGCCCGAAGGTTAAACTGTCACGTTCACACTCCCTGAAGGGATGGTTGTGGGGGGAGGAGGGCAGAGTGTATCCCCCCAACTCTGCTTGTTCTCTGTGGAGGTTTGCTCACTGAAGAAGACTCTGCTCTCCCTGCTCTGATTCAGTATGGCCGCAGTCCTCAGTGAACCTTGTAACAGAGAAGCTGGTTATGTGGCGCCCCCTCGTGGCCGACGGCAGAGCTGCAGGCTGTGCTGAAATCTCTACTACCTCAAATTGTGTCTCACAGGGAAGACGGCAGCCTGCCCGCCCCATCCCAGCTTGTGTCCATCTCGACCTCTGAGACTTCCTAGGAAAGACACAGAGTGTCCTCCAGGCTGGGCCCCTTGTCCTCCGATACGTGGACCAAGCGCTGGAGAGGGGGTTCCTGGTTGTAATTTGCTTGCTGTTGCTGCGATGAAACATTCTGACTAAAGGCAACTGGGGAAGAAAAGGGGTTTATTTGGCTTACCCTTCCGGGTCACAGTCCATCTTTGAGAGAAGTCCAGGCAGGTACTCAAGCAGAGCAGGAATCTGGAGGCAGGAGCCGAAGCAGAGGCCATGGAGGGGTGCTGCTCACTGGCTTGCTTCGCATGGCTTGCTCAGTCTGCTTTCTTGTAGAACCCAGGACCACCAGCCCAGGGGTGGCCCCACTCCCACGGACGTGCCTACAAGCCAATATGATGGAAGCAATTTATCAGTTGAGGTTCCCTCTTCCTGGATAACTCTAACTTGTGTCAAGTTGACAAAAAAAAAAAAAAAAAAAAAAACCCTAACCAGCACATTCCCTGGGCCACGTGGGCCTAATTTCTGTCATGGCATCCAGTGTTGTGAGGTCACAGCTTGGGACGTGGCAGTCCTGACACACTGGGCCATCTGTCCTCAATAGGACGAACAAGTCACAGAGAAAAGTGACAACACTGAGAACAGGAACAAAGGGTCCAGGGACCCTCCAGGTCCAGCTTGGAGGTCCTGTCGTGATGTTTAAATAGACAGCAAGAGGGATGCGGAGCTAGGCGGCCCAGGTCAAGGTGTGGTCCAGCCCGCCCTGCCCCATCACTGCCTCAAGTTCCTCCTGCAAGGCGTTCTGACGAGTCCTCAGAACCGTGTGAGATCTCGTCCCAGGAGACCAGCTCCCCTCTGGCTGGCACTATGGTCTCAGTCTTTTCCTTCTCCCAGCTTGAGATTCCTGGGGAAATTCCAGTTCTTCAGTGAGACCATTGTTGCAACAGGTGATGAAGGAGACACAGAATTATCTTCATGACTGCTCAGACTCTTGCATTAGTTGAGGCCAGGCTACCCTCTGCCCAGGCTCTCTTTGTCTATGGGTTTCTCTACCTCTTCCCAGTTCCAACACAACTAGAATCATACTCACCCCCTTTCCTCACATAAACGGAAACATACAATCCAGAGACCTTTCCCACATCCTCCCTGTTCTCAGTATAATAGACCATAGATCACCCTTTCCCCTTGTCAAGGGAAGAAACCGAGATACCCCAGGTAAGGGAGCAGAGGGTCCAAGGGGTGAAGACATCCCACACATAGCCAGCCACATCTATACCTCAGCTCATATGGGACTGGGAGGGGTATGGGTGTTCCAGTCTGTCTCTGGTATTTGGTTATCTTGAGGGTGGACTCCTAGGGCACAGCCACTTTGCCATCCCTGGACATGGTGTCCTGAGAAGAAGGGGCTGGACAGAACCTTCCCAAATCATTGGCGGGAAGGTTCCAGGAAAGCCAGTGGCCTCGAGTGTTAGCTTGGAGATAACGCCCATCACATAGTCACTGGCCCAGGGTCCAGCGAGTTTTGCTGGTTTCCAAGACTTAGAGGACGAAAAGAAGGCTGTCACTGGGATAGATCTCAAAGGTCCCCCATTTCAGTGAGCCTACACACCACTGAATCTACCCCAGACCCCATCCTGAACAGCCCTCCTCACCCCTGTACACTGGGCGGGGGAGGGGGGAGTCACTCCTGGTTCATTCTTCTTACTCTAAGCAGTCAGTGTGGTCACTCACCAAGCATTTACTGGGTATATCTTCTGCTGGAACTGGGGTGGGCACTAGGGGCATGGATGAACTCCCAGGTATTATTCCCACCCTGGAGTACATAATCGTCTGGGGCCTAGAGTAAAGGAATGTTCAGATCCAAGAAGATACATCATTAGGGCCTCAGGAAGGGTCCCAGAACAGCTGAGGCCCGTTCTGCACCCCCTACTCCTGCTTGTGTCTCCTGGTAGCTGAGGTGTCTGAGGGTTCGAGGCCTCTCCTGAATAACTTTATTAACCTCGTAGTGAATGTTTGGTTTGCAGACGGGAGACCTGCAATGTTATTCATTGAAGAGCCAGGACGCTGAGTTCCAGGCGGTCTGTGTAAATGTACATTCAGTTACTGATTGACAGGCCTTTCTGGGGGAACAAACAGAGAGAAGTCACCATGCTCCTGGAGAGGGCCAGCCTGGCTCCTTCCTCTGCTTCTCCAGGTGTCTTTGTGGCTGCCTTCCTCACTTACCAAGCTGGTGTGTACACGTGGCTGTGTGCATCTGCTGCACATTAAGAACAACTCACTGTCCTGGGTTCGGAAGAGAATTCGTTTCAACTCCAACTTCCCCTTCAAAGTTACCTTGATTTTTGTCTCCCGTTTTGTCTCCCCAAAGCCAAATCTGGAGACAGACAAGGACCTTTCCAAGGTCATACAGCAGGCTCAGGGGCCAGGCTGCTAGGAAAGCCGGTTTCCGTTTCCAGAGTGTGGTCTGCAGCCTGCAGCGCTTCAGGGCCCTTCTCAGCCACCAGCTGCTGCCCCGGCTGGGTGGGGAGTTCCCACCGTCCATCGCCCTCCCGCCTGGCTCACCCGGGCATATTCCTCCCAGTAACCCCATAAGGTTCTTCCAAGAAGCAGCAGTGGGAAGTTCTCAAAGCAGGGAACCAGGTTGAGAGATGTAAAGACAGACAACAGCACTATGGAATTATGGGAGGGTCACACTCGGGGTCACATCAAGCAGCCCAACAGGCTTCGAGAAATAAACTTGCCAAATGGAGCCTGAAGAGTGGCACTGGCCCCTGGGCCTCCCAGATGTAAGGCCCATGACAGCTGGGTACCCCCCCACACACACCTTAACCGTTCCCTATTACCATCTCCCTTGTCCTGCCAGTGTCTGGCTGAAACCCTGAGCTTCCAAATTCTGAGTAGGATTTTCCCCCCAGTCCCTCAGCTGTTCAATTGCAGTAACACAAAGTGTTCCCAACCCAGGATTCCTGAGAATGGAAGGGGACCTGAGTTTCCAGAATCTTCTGAGGCTGGACATTTGGACAGCCCCACAGCTCTCACTTGCAGCCCATGTCTCAGTGCTGCTCTCCTAACACACCTGACTGTGGCTGCTGCGTCCTGGACTCTGAGGCCCAAGCTGATCCATCTTCTAGACTGGAACAACAGAGGTGAGCAGCCGTGGCATTCACCAAGTAGGGCATCTGTCACAGCTGAGAAGAGTAGGTCTCATGGTGAGGGTTGGGCTTCCACCATCCAACTGCAGTTCAGAGCTCAATCACCTGGGGTGCACATCTGCAGGGAGGCACTCCATCCCTCAGACTCAGTCCTCCCTTTGCCCTGGACCCACCTCTGTCCTAGGAGCCCCTCATTCTGCTGTGGGTAGGACCAGCAGATCTACTCAAAACGAGTCTTTTGGGGGCACCCTCTTCCTTACTGAACCGAGAACTCAGCCCAGAACTGCTGAGATGAGGTGGGGGTGATCTCCCAATCTGCCAAAGCTTTTAGAAAAACTGGAGGCCCGTGCGAGGAGTCCTCACACTTCAGATGAACCAGCCTCCGTCCCAGCTTCTGATCGGGAAGCCAAGTCCGGACAGGACAGGGCCCCACCCAAACCGCCTTTCCCAAGATGGGCTCATGCCCTTACCCTGGGTGTCCCATACTCGGGTGTTAGTGAGTTTGGAAGAGGGCATATGGAAATGGGGATAGGATTATGATGATAATTCAAGTTGTGCGGTCTGAGGCTTCATGAAAAGGAGTCCAGAGCCTTCCCAGAAAATCAGGCGAAGGCCGGCAATTCAGGAACTGCAATATTATGTGACTCTGAGTAGGTCGTGTGCTCCTTCTGGTGGTAGAAGGAGGAATTGCACCCCAAGGCCTCTAGGTCTCCAAGCTATGTATCCGTGAGGCAAGGGTCACTTTCAAGACTCGATTTATATTCTGTAATTCAGTACAGCTCTTTAGAGTGAAGGGCAAGTTCAGTAACTCTCAGTGTGTGAATTTCCAGGAGAGTGAAGGGAACTGTCCTGGCCCAGAAGCAGGTCACAGAATCAGAATGTCCCCTGGAGCTGTGGTCCTCAGCCCTGGGCAGGCTCACTGAGCCTCAGCCTGGGTGAGGGCCCCAGAGGGCATGGGGACAGGAAGGCAGGCTCGCCAGCTAATCTCATGCCTGTGCCCAGCTCTCCCTGCTCAAGGATGACATACGGGTAGGCCCAGGTCAGGCAAAGTCCCCAAGGTCCACCTCCCGTGTGCAGGTCTGGTCACTTAGAGAACAGAGCAGGAGACATGGTGAGAGGTTGAGGGAGGAGAAGTGACCCATCCAAGACCATTTAAGTGATGGGCTGGTGAACAGAACATTCTAGAAATGTGACTTCTTTCCAGGGCTCCCACTTCTCTGTAGTGAACCACAGACCTTGAATACTCTGCCTTGGCCCTGCATCCAGAAACCTTGAAGAGCTTAGCTCCTCCCCAGTCCTAACCCTGGCCAGATCTGCTCGACCTCTGCTCATTCCTCCCACCCTCTAGAAGGAGCTCAAGCATAGCATAACCAAGTTCTACTTAATGGTGGGGTCACATTTTGTCAGTGGTGTGATACGGAGCCTAGTAACCAGACTTTACCTAGTTGGCTACTGGTCTCAGCTGGCTCCCGCCCTTCCACCCCAGGCTTCTCTATCTCTTAGTTCTCACAGAAAAAGGCAGGCAGGATGTCACCCTGTGTAGACAAGTCACTGCCTTTCTTGCGGGGGAGGGGTTAAGCGTCCCCTCCCATACAATGGAATGGTCTCAAAGGACTGTCCTCAATTACCTAGGGATGAATGGGCAGGTGGGTAGGTGGGCTTCAGAGCCTAGGGGCAAAGGGTTAGGACAGAAGGCTTAAGTACCCAGTGAAATGGCCTGTCCACCCTGACTGTATGGTCCACCCAAACACAGTCTGTTCCTTTCAAATGCTGTCACCCAGGGTTCTGCTCAGATACTCTGAGATGCAGATAAGGAAGCCAGGCACCAGATGGTACCAGCATCCTGCCAGCCCTCCAGTCTCCTTGGAGATTTCATGTGAACGGAGGGAGAGGGAGATGGACCCCTTTGTAGGTCTCTGTCCGGATGGACAGGGCTGAAGGAAGCAGTAACCATGGATTCACTCTCACTGTTCACTCTTGGCCCAGGGACGAAGCAAGCCAACACCCAAATAGATGGCTAGGACGGGGTCCAGCTGGAGTTCCTTGGGCACCACCCACCCAAGGAGGGTGGTTTGACGGGTGTGCCGGGAACATGAGCTGAAGCCCAGCACCAGGCTTTTCAGACCCACCCACCCTGAACAGCAGTGCATCTTGATGAAACCCGTGAATGTGGACACAGACAGCTACCTCTTAGGTGGCCAAGAGCACCCAAGAAGCAAGTTCCCCATGGAAGCACCCAGGCTTCAACAGCAGCAGCATCCAGCATGACCCAACAGACCCAGTCACCTTCAACTTAACACCTTCAGACTTCTGCAAGGCACCCAGAAGTCAGGCAGAGGTCTCTGTCCCCAGCTATTCAGGGGTGAATGATGAGGGACCCAGAGATGAGCACACCAAGTCTGCTTTCATTGGCAGGTACTTGCTAGAGTGATTCATTGGAAATCAGTGAGATGAGGCTGCATGTGTACCCCAACTTGGAACAGGAAGTGGGCTTGTCAGAGGAGTTGGGGAGGGGAGGAAGGAAGTTAAGGATCAAGAGGTATGAGTGGATGGCCATGAAGGGGTCATAGTGAGCCTGGCACATCCTTCAGCCTGAGTGCTGACTGATGGAACAGCGGGGTACAGCTGGGGAAGACAGGCATCCGTGGTGCCCACGCACTGGTGGGTATTGGCAGCTCTGGAAAGACAAAGGCAGGGGTTGAGCTGGGAAGGAGGCCTCTGGGGCTGGGACTTTTGTCCCTGTCCCTCTTACCATCCCCAAGGACCCCTCTGCAGCCGCCCTACTCCACACATCCCACTCCGGACCTCAGTCCTCACTTTAAAACATTAATGGGGACAGCTCCCCCCGGCCCCCCAGAATTCTCTCTGCTCGCTGTCTCTTGTTCACAGGCATTCTCTACCCAAGCCCTCATGCCCCTTAAAGAGAACGTACCTCCTGTCACAGCTCATCTTCGTTGACCTGCCTGGGATGGGGAAGAATGAAGAGAGGGTGAAGGCAGAGGGAGGGGAAACCTGGGGTCCCCCAGATTGTGGGTCCCCTCCTCCTCATTAGGGAAAGCTTCCTGCCCTCCTCCCTGCCCCACCCACCTTGCCAGATCCCCGACAGCACTCACCTGTGTCTCTTACTGCCCCCACAGCGGAATCGTTTGCCTAGAAAAGATACAGTAAAGTTTGTTGCCATTTTCCAAGGAGACCCTGTTGCCATTTTCCAACTTTCTGCCAGGCTTGCTCCTCTCCCCCCCTCCAGTGGGGCTCGGAGTCTACATTTAACTGTTTCTCTGTTTATATAGGGCTGGACCACCAAAGAATTGGTCAATCAACAACCATTCACTGCACCAGCTCTGTGGTGGACTGTGAGCATGTTGAAAGTGTCAGCTGGGACCAGAGTTCATGCTGCCACCAGCACAGTGTTGGGCACAACAGGGCAGCTGCTTGGTACACACTTGGAGGAGGACAGGCCAAATCCAAAGTTCAAATCCCTGCTTAGGCTCATAACTTCTGAGAAACGGCCCCCCTTCCCCTCCAAGACAGATGCAGGAGCCCAGCTTTCACGGGGGAGTGGCAGGAACCAGAGCATGGGGGAATCCCAGAACACAGAAGCCTGTTGGCTTCACCGAGCATCTTCCTGATTGTGATTCTGGTATTTTTCTTTTGGTGGCAACGAGCATTTATTGAGCACTTGCTGTTGTGCCTGCCAGCGCTGGAAGACATCTAAGGACTTTGTCCTCCCCCTAAAACCCTCCATGGCTACCCCGGATCCTTCCTAATGTAACCCCCTCACCCCTATAGATGTCTTAGGATGCTAGTTCAAATCTTACAAGACTGATGGAGATTGTCCCCACTAAACAGGGAAAATGGAGCCTCCTCCATCCCAGAGTTGGGATAAGTCAGTTGTAGGCCCCAGGGCCTGGATCCCAGCCCTGCTAGTTTCCAGCAATACGGGGAAGGGTGGATGTCAGATACATCCAGGGAGGGAAGCTGCCACATGTCTCTCCCCATGAGTCTCACTGTCCATCTCAAACGCTGACAGTGGGGGCATGGGTACTGTCCCTCAGTGCGCTGAGGCCACCTAATGGCCAGGGTGGCTAGGGTGTGGCCACCTCAGGAGATGTCCAGATAGGCTTAGGATCCGCCCTGCCTGCTCCCTTGGCCTCTCCTGTCCCAGTTATTGCCAAGCCAGACTCCTCTCTCCGTTTCCCCTTCCAAGGCCACGAGGGGGCACCCTGAAGGAAGCGGGAGCCTGCCCTCTGTCCCCTTACACACACTTCCTAAATTCCTCCTCTGGCTGGTGGAGTGTGGGCTGGGAACTTGTAAGCGCCCTTACTGTATGACTTTGGGAAATGCCCCACCAGTCTCCACTTACTGAGGAGGATGAGGAGCCCCACGACGAAGGCCAGGCCCGCGAAGATCAGGCCCCCTTTGCGGACAGTCTCGTAGTCTTGGAAGAGAGGAGACATGCGTGGTGGTGTAAGCACAGCCCCTCGCAGACCTCCCAAGTCCACCCACCAGCAGCCCCGTGGTGTTGAGAGCAGATAGCCGGGCACAAGGGCTGGGAGCCAGCTGATGGGGTGGGCAGGGGAGGACTGGCTTACCATAGTGGAATGGGTCCTCTGCCCCCTTGCCGCTGCCACCTGAGGAGAGAGCCAGGGGTGGGATGAGCAAGATATCACAACCCCAGAGCCGTGGGAACACTGGACTTCTCAAAGGATCCCCAAGGGCCCAGATGGGCAGGGGAAAGTTGGGGAAAAGTGGACTGGACATCCACCCCAAGGTTATATCACATGGACATCCTGGGATCAGATTCGGGGCATCTGGAGTGGAGATCTGGGTGGACTGGACCAGGAAGGGGGATGATACCCTCACAATCAAAGGAGGGTGTGGTCCTCCCCAGCTCCCTGCTGGGGAGGACAAAGGACAGGCCAAAGAGCGGTTCCGGGGAGGCTCCTTAGTGGCCTCTACTGACATAATTCCACTTTCTCAAGGAGAAGCAATATCTAGGGAATAAATGAAAGAGTAAAACAGAGCCTCTACGCTCAGGGAACAGGAGGAGGGAACCATGGGCCCTCTGGAGTTTTTGTAAAGACCCTGGATATCGAAGGCAGAATCGGGGCTTGACTCATCCTGGATTCTACTCTCCTATGTCGTGGTCCTCAGGGTAAACTAACAAGAGTGAGGAATATGCACTCAGTGTCCGGGCACTCCAGACCCAAGTGAATGCAAGAGCGGCTCAGACCACCAGTGGGGCACTGTGTTATCCCCCTCTAACCCACCAGAGGTTGAAGCGCAGACAGGCTAAGTAAGCCACACAGCAGGTAAGGGGCAGAGCTGGGATTTGAACCCAGGCAAAGGGTCACTCTGAGTCTCAAGTGACAGGTAGGAAGAGTTGTCCACATGCTGTATGGCCCTGGCCCTGCCTCCTGTGGTCCCCTTCATCCTGGTGAAAGCAAATATTCCGCTCTTCGCCCCCTGAGCTCAGAGTACTTGCCTTTGGATGGCTGGTGGCACTGGCCAGCAGAGCTGCGGCCACCCCACCCCCTCCATGCCAGCCGCACCCTTTGCTGTCCTGCTGGAGACCCTCTTGGCACTAGGGGGCTGAGGCCCTTTCTAAAGGAGTGAACAAGTTAGTAATTCCCAGGCAACTTTGAACTGTGTCCTTGTTGTGGCTAGCCACAGGGCCTGGTGAGCCCAGCTGTTTCCGGTGGCCAGAGGGGGTCATTGCCTCACAGACCTTGGGTTTGGGTTGTTCAGGAAGGCCAGAATCTGAGGAGAAGCCACAGGGACCCAGGCTGGGCTGCTGTGCAGTGAGTCTCCCCAGCTTCAGTTATAGTCAAGGTCATGTGGCGAGCTAGTGCCAGCCTCAGCCACACCCAAGCCGGGACTCCCCTTCAGAACCATTTGGTGAGCCCCACCAGCGCTCTGGGCCAGAACCCTGAAGATATGTGGGTCAGCAGGGTCCCTATTGGGCTCCAGGCCTGAGTCTGTGGATCCCAAAACTCAGGGCTTTTCTTGTGACCCCAAGCCAGCTGGGGAAGGCTGGCCGGGACTGCTCTTCCCACTCCCAACCCAGGCAGCCTCTGCCCGCTTTGTGGCCTTAGTTCTTCAACCAGTATTAGAAAGTCACACTGGGCAGGGTGTGGGAGGCTGAGGCAGGAGGATGGCAGTGGATTTTAGGTTATTCTGGACTTTACAGTGAGTTCAGGCCAAGATTCTGTCTCAAAAACAAAGTCACACAGGAACACATACACAAGCAAGCACACTCACACTCACACACACACACTCACTCACACACACACACACACACTCACACACTCACACTCACTCACACACACACACACACACACACACACAAACTTCTGCTGCTCTGACTTGTACTATTCTGCGTCTTTTCTGTGGGGGTGGAGGAGTTGGGGCCCTTCTGATTGCTAATTTTCTTAGAGAGCCACTGGCTGGAAGCCCAGAGGCAAGGGAGCAGGAGGGGAAAAGGGGGGTTCAGATGCCCACTGAAGGCAGTCCCAGAGGGGAAAAGGGGTTCAGATGCCCACCAAAGGCAGTCCCAGAGGGGGAAGGGGGTTCAGATGCCCACTGAAGGCAGTCCCAGAGGGGGAAGGGGGTTCAAATGCCCCCCCTGAAGGCAGTCCTGCCAGCCCCACCGGGCACTGCACTCACCATCACCAGCCATCATTTCCCCGGCCTCCAGGGCTCCTCCACAGTCTTCCTACAGCCTCTACTTCAGGGATAGTGTCTGCCGTGGGGTGGCCAGGGCAGAGGTGGGGGGCATTAAATATTAACTGTGTCAGGTAATATTTACCCTGGTCACAAGAAAAGCCGAGTGTGCTCAGAGGGGCTCCTGCTGAGCCAGGCAAGGGGGAGGCGTTGGGGGGAGCCAGAGGCAGGGAGGGGCGGGCTGCAGTCTCCAGCCCCTCCCAAAGGAAATTTCCAGAGAGCAAGGCCCGGATGGGCAGCAACAGTATTCTTCCATCAGCTGGGGAAGCCGCAGCTGGGCTGAGGAAGTGGAAGTTTCAAGATGCACTCACTGTGAATGGCCCGCGGGGGGGGGTGGGGGGGGGGGGGGGGGGTGGGGGGGTGGGGGGGGAGTACTCTGTCAGGTCGAAGTCCCTCAGCCCCCAGAGCTCCCTGCCAGCCCCTGTGGATAGATAGCACCATGGCAGCTAACATTCTCATGGGCACTCATGTTTCCCTGAGGGGTCCCGAAGGAGCCTGGCCTGCCTCCCCCTCTCACCAAAGTCCTCTGAACCTTGGGGTCCACGGCAGGATGAGGCTCCGTGGC